GCTCTCTGTTACAACATGAAATACAATAAACTCAGAAATTGAATGCATAAAGAAAGCTACCGAAAGCTTTGCTTGAGTCTGCTAGGCGTCCACTGTTGCACAACATTAAGTAAAAGTTGTTCAAAAAATCAAAGGATTTTCCTTATACAGCTCAGTTTACAGTGATGCCTGATCTGTGTAAAACAAGGAGTACAGCTGGCAATTCTGAATGGAGTTCACTTGACGAAGGAATTGTGAGGCCAAGAATAAATAGGGCCAAAGGGGCTGAGAGAGCTGGCATACAGATTTATTTTGAACATACTTCCTCTTTTCCAGCTGTGCTGTGGAAGGATACTTCAAGGCCATAGAGGGCAGAACAAATTTGGTCTTGGAGGCATTTATGCATCCCACTGCCCAAAATCTGGGGGTCTTGGCCTGAGAGAGAAATCCAGTTTGTTTATATTTTCATATTCAATATCCCTTTACCATTCAGTGGAGCCTCTACCTCCACATTAAGAGTTGGACTGAGTTTTAGCATCTAGATGCTCTGTACAGAGAATGGGGAGAGGGATGTACCTTCAAAGAGTGATCCAGAAAGTCTGGAGATGCCTATAGCCAGTCGGTAAAAAAAATAAGGCACAAGAGTGTGCCTGAACTCCTGCTCCTCTCCAGAACTGAAGTTCTTGACTCATTCTGAACTTTAAACACCTCCATTCACTTGCTTGGTCCTGCTTTTGTGGCTGTCTTGTGGAGCAGAGCCAAAATGGATTGCTCTTTGGAACTTAGGCACTCAAATTCTGTGCGAGTCCCATTTAGGCGCCATTCAGACTAAATTAGATCTGGCCCTTGTGTCTTAAAAAGGAGGGTAGGGAAAAGTCCCTTTTCTTTCACTTAGAAATGAGAAAGCTAATCTCTTTGGCCTTCCTTTATACTGATTTTTGTTCATTATTCACGTTGGCAAAATTTGGATGGGTTTGCAGAGTAGAATTCTATTACCCTTTATGCACTTAAATGGCAGTTTTCCAGTCGCATACATGGCATTTTCGGCACTTAGATGCTGTTACCCTTGCATTGTGGACATGAAAGCATACATATGTATGCTGCGCATGAGGCAGTAGGCTACTGAGGCAGGTGTATGTATGCATGCCTAATATATGTGCACAAGTCACAAAATTGTAGCCAGTAAAAAAAAAACCCACGACTAGCTGCTAGAGATGATGGAGGAAGGCATTTCTATGCTTCAGCCCAAGTAGCTGAGTGGTTAGACCACTTGCCCAGGAAGTAAAAAACCTGGGTTAAAGTTCCCCCTTTACCCAGAGGGGGTTTAATCTTTTTAATGTAGCATATTTCCTAGTATAGCACATCAACCACAGATTAGGCCAACGATTCTCAACCAGGATTCCCTGAAATCCCAGAAGAGATGCTGCACTACCTCGCCTGTGTGAGATAAATGCTCTACTTCCCCGTCGGGCAGCCTACACCAACACCTCTGGCTGGCTACACCAACACTGACACTATTTCTTCTGCCTTCCCTCACCCTTCCCTGTCCCCAGGCACCCTCTTGTTGTCCCAGCAGTGCACTGTGCTGCAAACTGGCAGGCAGATGCACAGACAAAGCTGCACTTTGCAGCCCGGCTTGTCCCTTCCACTTCTACACTCCTGAGACTGGTGGGAGAGGCCATGATTGGTTACCACCATGCCAAACTCCCATAGGAGCAGCTCTGTGGGAGACGAACCAGAGGTGGGGAGTAGGCAGGCAGTAGATAGAGCAGGGCACAGCCATGTGAGGTCCTGTCTCTGCCACCTTTAAGTGGGTTCAGCTAGATCAGTGCTTCTTAACTTCTTAAGTCTCAAGGTCCCCCTCCATATTTTTTCTGAATTCAGATCCACCTCAGTGATTTTCAGTTGGGGTGCTGCAAAATTGAGAGAAGTTATTGAGGGGGTCCTTGAAGCAGAAACGGTTGATAATCACTAAGTTAGGTGTTCTTTAAGTCCCTCCTCAGCACTCATTTTGAAGTTGGTCTCAGGAACAGCCAAGAGAAGAAGATATGTGAGGCCAGGAGGAAATAAACAAGCTGGACTGTATGTCTCAGTGAGTGAGCTGCTGCCATTCTGAATAGGCAAAATCCCTGACTCTTCTAGCCTGAACCCTTCTTACCAATAAGGTGGAAACTTTCCCACTGCTCTTTGGCTGCGTCTACATGAGATGCTGACTGTGCAGTCATTACTGCACAGTCATTTAGTACTTGTATAAACAAGTACTAAATGACTGCACAGTAACCCAAGTTACTACACAGTAGCACCAACAAACAGCTTTTTTGTGACGCTGACTGTGCAGTAGCCCGAGACTACCATGCAGTAGCATCGCATCACAGTTTCTGCCACGTGACACTACTGCGCAGTAGTCTTGGGCTACTGAGCAGTCAGTGTCTCTTGTAGATGCAGCCCCTGTCTGTTTTATCCAGTACAGGATGTAGTGGTTCAGCTTCAAAAGGCATGTTGGAGGAGGGACTGGGTAATACATAACTTGTGGTATGGTGGTTAGTGCACTGTACTGGATAGTTGGAGGGGACATAGATTCAAACTCCTCTGGGTGATACAGCCCTAGAACCCTGGTTTCATGGGTAAGTGTCCCAACAACTCAACTATTGGGGCTGAGACATACAAGTGCCTTCCCTGCTTTTTCTGTGACGTAGAGACCATAAGTGGAATTATGAGCCAAGAGTGTGCTCTTGTTGGGGGTCTGGTTTTTTGGGTTTGGCTTGGTTTGGTTTTTTGTTGGGTTTTTTTCCCAGCATATTGAGTTGTGTTAACAGGAGTGTCACTTGCAACTCAAGGAAAGTAATTCTTCCTAGAGGTGCACCAATACATCGGTCCCATATCATATCGGCACTGGTTTGAGGAAAATTGAGAGTACTGGCAATTGGCTTTTTGTGTCTGATGTGGCTGATAAATGCTGCATGCATGTGCGCAGCCACAGTGCAGCATGCAGGTGGCCAGGAGCATAGCCTGGCAGCATAGAGAGCAGCAGAGTCCAACTGATAAGCCTGTTGTGGGGGAAGGGGCGAGGGTGAAGGGAAGGGGCGTGGGGCAGATTTGGGCCCCTGCGGTGAGGGAGGGATTGGGGCCGGGGCTGGGGCTGGAGCAGGCGCTGCCCAGCCAGGGTGGGGCACAGGACAGAGCTGTGGCTGATCCAGAGGGCATGGGGAGGAGGCATCTCCCACTGCTGTGTGCACCATGGGAGGGCTGTGCTCAGGGCAGGCAGTGGTGGTGCTTGGTGAGGGTTTGGGGGCGGGGGGGCTGCAGTCACCCCAAAATTCACCATAGTCCCTGCTCCCAGTGCAGCCCATCATTCCCCCTGCCCCCGGAAGAGGCTGACGCATCCCCTAGCCCACAGTGGCAGCCCATCCTACCCCATGTGCAGATCCAGGGACATGCACCCCGTCCCCATGCTCTCCTGGGCTGCGTGCAGTGGCGGGAGCTGCCCACCCCCCCCCGTACCCTCCCGACAAGCTGCGGCTCCATCCTGTGCCCTGCCCCAGCTGGGAAGCACCTGCCCCAGCACCAGCCCCACTCCTTCCTTCACTGCGGGAGCCTTGATATCATCCCAGTCAAATATCTATCCAGCCTCTTCTTGAAGACCCCCAAGGTAGGAGAGAGTACCACCTCACTTGGGAGCCTATTCCAGAGCCTGGCAGCCCTAACTGTAAAGTAATGTCTCCTGATGTCCAACCTGAACCTTCTCCCTGACAATTTGTGGCCATTATTCCTAGTAACCCCAGGTGGTGCCCAGGGGAACAGACCCTCCCCCAATTCTTGCTGGTCCCCCTGTGGTGAGTTTGTAAATGGCCACCAGATCTCCTCTCAGCCTTCTCTTGTGGAGGCTGAATAGGTTTAGGCCCTTTAGCCTCTCCTCGTAGGGCCTGCCCCGCTGCCCCTTCATCATGCAAATAGCCGTCCTCTGGACCCTCTCAATGCTAGCCTTCTGGTTGGGTTTTTGCTTGCTGACATGTTGGCTTAGTTTAGTCCCAAGGAATGGGGAAATGACTTCACAAGAGGGAGGGGTGCTGAGTAGTGGCCGAAGATGGAGCTCTAGAAGCTTATTTGGGAGTTCTTTTGAGTGTTGAGGTTCTGAGTTAGGGAGAAATAATCCTACTCCTGCCTTGTCGAAATGTGAGGCAGAACGATTTCACCAGGCTAAGTGTGGGAAGACTACCTATTGGATGCTGGTGGTAAAAGTGACTGGGACTGGGCAATGTCAGTCTCATCAGAGCTCTCTTGTTCCTTGGTGCCAAAGAGAACTATGTGACTATTCTGAGTGGGATATTCTGGGGTTGTGGTTGAATAGGCTGATATGTGAAAGTGAGTTGTTCAGCACAAAAAAATAGTGTTGTGTCTTTGCATCTAATTTGCATCTACACCCCATGCCCTCAGAAGTCAAAGTCGGAAAGGAGTCCAGAGCAGCCACCGCCTGTAGAGAGGACACGGACAGATGAACCCTGTATCAGTATATTTTAAGATGAAACAGTTTTAGCCCTGATCCATCCCAGGCTAAATTTTTAACAGACTAGTTGGGAGTTATACCATTTTAAGGTGTGTATCATTTGTCTGTTTCTTTTTTTTAAACCCACTTAAAACCACTTACATTGGTATACATGTTTCATCTGTCCACACTCTTAATAACTCTTAGTTTATCTAATATGTTTGGATATGGGCTGCTCTTTACTCAACAGTATTGTGTTTCCTGTATGTCTGTGTAAGTATGATAATTTTTTTAGATCTTTTTATTGATTCTTTGTTTTGTGGAGAGGCAATTGCCAAGGGCCATTTTAGACATAGTGTGCTGGCTTGATAAAGATTTTTTAAAATGGGGCTACAAAACGTATGTGGCTTTTCTGTTGAGTATTGCCTTTTTTCTGTTTTTAACTAGGATAAGTAGTATCTTTCTTTTCCTGTTTTGCAAAATGGAAACCTTGTCTTGTGTTTCTCATTTATTTCTTCTCTTTGTCTTTGATGCCCAGGGGAGCATGTAACATCAAGGTTTAAAAATGAAGTTGAACGCATGGGTTTTGATATGAACAATGCCTGGAGGATCTCCAACATCAATGAAAAGTATAAGTAAGTTCTGTAGGTCCTTGTAGACTGCTGATTCATAACTAAATGTCATGTCTAAACACCAGTCTTTATGTTATAGATCACTAGAATTTATTCAAATGGAGTTCTATAATTAAAACTAATATGTAAGGAGGGAATCATGGGATATTGACCCTTTTCTGCTTTAGGCCTGAAACTGATTTCAAAGTATTTTAAAAAAAATTGTGTGCTTGATTTTTTTTTTTTTTTTTTTTTTTTTTTTTTTTTTTAAAACATTAGAAATATCAGATTTTCATTTTGTGTTTTTACTGAAAGTTCTTGGAGGACAGGTGAATTAAGACTTAAAACAGTACAAGTGGAGCCTGACCAAGTAAAAAAGGGATCGGTTCTTGTTCATACTGTTTAAAACTTTTTTGCTCTCTATTAGTACCTGTTTTCCTCAAACTCTTGGGCTAGGGGCAGAAGTTACATACAAACTGGTTTAAGTGATCAGAAACTGGTTTAAACTGTAACAGAACAGAAATTCAGTGCACATAAACCGCTTTCAAAATTGCCAAAACTGGTTTAAGATAAACCTGGTTGGATGTAGTATCAGACTTAACTGATTTAGATCAAACCAGTTTATGGACCTTCTGTTCCAGTTCCCTTCCTAGTTCAAGTTAACTCAGTCCCCCAGCATCCCAGGATGCTTTGCAGCCCTGGGCTATGCTGCTTGCTCCAGTGGAGCAGGGACTGCCTCGCCCCTCTGCTCCTTAATTTGCTTCTTGCTTGTGTCCGTCAGCCCGTAGGGACTGGGGAGCAGGAGAACAGACCCCCAGGCCCTCCTAGCCAGGGTCTACACAGCATGTGGGGGGAAGGAAAGCCCCTGTGGTGGGGGCTTTTCAGACCCTGGCAGCCCTTTCCTTTCCCCCTTCCCAGCTGCTGATTTTGCTTCAGCGGCTGCCACAGGAGAGAGGGAGAAGGAGTCCTCCAGGCCAGGTGCCTACCCATGCAGCCCTGCATGGGGGAACCAGGTCACCCATGCTTTGGGGGGCTTCCCCCCACCACAGCCCAGTGCAGCCCCAGGGAGCTGAGGGGAATTATTTTTCCAAATGGCATTGCTGCTTGCCTTAGCCCCTGTGGGTTTCAGGCAGCTTCAGGGAGTGGCGGGAAATTCTCGTGTTCCTCCACAGCTGGTTTAGCCTTAGCTGCTGTGAGTCTGAGGCAAAACGAATGCATGGAACCAGAGGAATTTCCTTCCGCTCCCTGGGCTATCCCTGAGACTTTCAGGGACTAAGGCAAGGGGTTGGTGTTGGGGAGGAGAAGAATTCCCCTTAGCTCCCTGGGGCTGCCGTGGCCTGGAGGACCCTGGGCTGTGGTGGGAGGAAGCCCCCCAAGGTGGAGGCTCCCTGGTCCCATGCTGGGCTGCATGGATAGGCACCTGGCCTGGGTTGGGAGGCTCCACCCCCTAGGTGGGCTAGCACCTGGACAGGGGGCTTCTTAACCTCCTGTGTGGGGACAGCAGTGGTTTGGGGACACTTGGCTGGGCTGGCAATGGCCAGCAGGCTGGGAGATGCATTCTAGTGGCCCCTGTCTTCTGGCCTAGGTCAATGCAGGCCTCCCCCTGCCTTTTCCAATTGAAAACTGAACATTAGCTCAGGTGGTTATCAGTTCAGTCTATGCTGCTTGGAAAAAGCTGTCTAGATTGAATCGATTCAGCCTCAGGCTTTTTGACTGTGTACTTAGCCCCGGGGGTCAGGCCAGGGGTCCTGGAGCCAGCATCAGGAAGCTGAAGAGCTGCCCGGGCCACGTGGCTGGAGAAGCTGCCAGCCATGTGGCTCAGCACCCTGCTGATGTGGCTGACTGGGCACAGACTGCACCTGATTTCATAGACATTAGGGCTGGAAGGGACCTCGGAAGATCATCGAGTCCAGCCCCCTGCCCAAAGGGCAGGAAGTCAGCTGGGGTCATAGGATCCCAGCAAGATAAGCATCCAGTTTGCTCTTGAAGGTGTTCAATGTAGGCGCTTGAACCACAAGCCTCCTGATGTTAAGCTGATGTTACCTTCTACACGTGCGTTGAGGCACATTAGTTTAAAGCACCATTTGCTAGGACCTGTATCTGTCAGTACTATCAAATGGTGCTTTAAATTAATCTAATGTGCAGTAATTGCAGCGTATTTGTAGACAGTGACACTTTACTGCACGGTAGGTTAGTCTAATGCTCAGTAAAGCGTGTGTGTAATACCTGAGTTCTGCCTAAGTCCCTTGAAGGAACCAGATCTGTTGTGTGTGCACTCAGAATATGCCAGACAACCACATCAGCGAGTTCAGTACAAGGCAAAGTAGCCATCATTACTTCTACTGGAAACCATTGGAGGAAATGTTGCCTCCCACTTTTTTATTTAATAGTTTCATAGTAGCTAGGGTCAGGAGGGACCTGAACAGATCATCTAGCCTGACCCCCTG